CACATACCTCCCCCCACACACCCCCACCATACCCACACACATATCCAACACTCCCACACACCAACCACACATCTCACACCCCTACACACATCCACTCATACATCATACACACACCTCACCTGCATCATACCCGCACACATACCCAGCACACACACACACATCCAGCAGTCACACACACCCCACACCTCAGCCACAGCCACCCCACACACATCCCACCTCTTTACACACAATATACAAGCAACACCCCCTCCCTCCCAAAAGGAGTAATTTTCTGGGCATGGGGACAAATTTCTGGTGTCAAAGGTCAGGGAGCAGAACTTCTGGTCACAAGATGGTGACCAGGGGGCGGGGCACCCTTGTGGCCCTTGACACCTCACCAAATCTCATTAAGAGTCCCTCCAGCTGAAATTATTGCCCACCCCTGAACTACACTGTAATACAGTCCTGTTAAAGGAGTCCATTTTCCATATGCTATAAAAACACATAATACATCATTTACTCTGAGAGACTTTAAAAATAATTGCAACAAAACATAATAAATATAATTTACATAGACCCCCTTAAACTTACACAACCATATATTGAATATAATTTAAAATATCAAACAGATTGCTCATTGCAGTTACACACACACGTCAGCTTGTGCTCCAGTATACCCCACAATAAGAACATACAGAACTCATAGGTATATTACATACAGTTGGGACTAAATTTTTAAAAACTTTATTAGGCACTTTATAAACAGCATACAAAATCTAAAGTATACAACCAACAGCATATTTCCAGGGCAGAAGAAAGCAAAAAGGATAAAGTTAAGCTTGTAGGACACTGGCAATCAACTGGACTGATAGATTTCCATCCTGCGGCGGCTGACTCCTTTAACAATTCATTTCTAAAATTCTTAAACTTTTAAAGACTAAAAAAGTCGATCTTACCCACAGCTTTCATCCCGAGTAGGTTCTTCATTCCAGATAGTAATCTCTGATTTGTTTGGGACTGGAGAATTCAGGACTGAATTAACAGTAAGGCAACGCTCATACCGTTCCAACATTCTCTTGATCTTTTCTTTGGATATACCATGAATGTTACGCCTGGAGATTAAAATGAGATTTTAACAGTTTTTATTTTAACACTCAAAGAGAACAGCTAGAAGATGGAATGGTTTTTCTTTGTATTGTATGTTTTGCTTAATTTTCAATGCAATATTTACACTAAAGGCACTTATCTTTTTTATTACTGTCTGGAATGTGGCAAACCAGTACAGTTGCTCTTGGTTCACTTTCTGTCAGTGATGCATGGATTTAAAATGCATAGAGGAGATTTTGTTCAGTCCACCTTCTCTGGGCTACTTTCTGGTACTGTTCAGTTGAGCAGAAGCTGCCATGAAGGAAACAAACAAATCTGCCTCTTGTTATAGCTACATGCCAACATATGCCAACAACTTTGGATAGGATTTTACACTGCCTTTATTATATCTCAGAAAACAAGCTGCTTGATCTAGCACGAGTAAAACCTAGCTAAAGCTGCAAACTGCATGGAACTAGAAGAAGACCTGAGTTAAGTTCCAGCAGCAGGTGAAATGTTTTCTTTATCCACCAACCCAGGGCTGCTTCAGAAGGATCCCTGTAAGCACCTGGCATCTGTAAGTATCATCAGTTAAGCACTTCAGATGGCACAGGTAGAGTGTAACCAAGCATCTACTGGTGGCTCAGAAGGGCTGATTCACAGGGGCCTCTCTCTCTCATATCAAGTAGTGCTGACTGGTCCAATCTAAAAGTTAGGAGGGACATTCTGGGTCAGGGAAGGCTAACCATGGAGCAGAACAGCCAGAGAGATGCAAGAAGAGACTCAGCATAATGGGACACAGCCTTGCAAATTGTTAAGGGTGGGTCCCTCTGGATCATTGTGCTTCAGTTCCCAAGGGATGTTTTAAGGCTGTGTTAGCATTTTCACAATTCTGCAAAGTATTATTTATATGCTACTGTTTTAAAGCTACTAGTCAATCTCTTTGGAACCTGGATGTAAAATTAAAACAATATTAAAAAAAACCAAAGGAATTCCTCAAACACTTAAACAAAACCTCATGCAAAAACAACAGCATTGTAAGCAATTGTAAACAATAATAGCTTTCTGAGCTGTTAAAATAAAAATAAATATCACATAGGTGTTTATTTCATCATTAACAAGAGGCTCAGCGGCACAGGGAAACCCAATAGCCATTGTCAAGGTAACAAACTATTTTAAACAAGGTAAATGGAAGGTGAAAGAGCTTATTTCAAATCTTCTGTATTACTTTTACCTTTCGAGTTCTTTCGGTTTAAACTTCCACCAAGTATCTGGCTCTCGGAACATGACTTTGTATTTGTACTGCTGAGCCTGAATAAACATACAAAAATAGAATGCAAAACATATCAGGGATTCTTTATTTCCATGAAAGAGCACACTGCATACAAAACATACATAAATAATAAATCAGGTGCTCAATATACAAAACAAATTTAACACTCCAGAAATATACTGACCCTGGGCTATGCTTTATTTGTTATGAAGATTAAGTTCCATAGTAATCTATGTGATTTAGATACATAACTCCCATAAAAATTAATTAAATGTGTTTTCGTTTTTATCAACTAGTTTCTTCATACCCGATCTAATCTACTTTGTTCAGCTAGTGTTTTGAAAACTCAAAATTTTACACCATGCACATCTTCTTTTTTTTCTTATTTCAGTTCATTCAATTATTTCTGCTTACGTTTTCACTGATTACATTTTCACTATTCCATCTTATAGATAAGATGGAATAGAATCCAGCTTGCTCTTTAAAAACCACATTTGCTCCATAGTACAAACACCTGAATTTGTCAATAAAGTAGATACAATACTAGGACATATGCACCAAGTAACACAATGCTAATTTTAATCACTTTTCTGCTTGTGGGAGCAATTCTCCCCTGTTGAAATCAAACAAAGACTGGAGAGAGGCCTAAGACCTTATCTGAAAATATGTTCTCAGCTTAGTTTGCAATCTTTTTTTTATAACACTCAAATTATCATACTAACCAGAGCAATATAAGGCTTCATCTCCCATGCTTGTATATTTGTGTTGTCTATTATTATAGGAGATACTCTCTTTTCAAATGCTTTTTTTGCTGAAAGACATTTGTGTGCAAAAGAATAAGATATGGTTAATTTTTTATAATAAATCTGATACCCAGTCTTATTTTTAAAAATAAGCCATGACATTTGACAGCCATCCAGAGTTGATATTGTAGTTTGCATTCTTTGCTTCCAAATTCATTTTCATTTAAGCTCCCTAACCCCAACATACAACACACTGCATTATACAATAAACGTGTGAATAATAAAGGAATGAAAATACAGCGGTAAACTCACAAATATGACCAATCAGTAAATTATACTAAAAAACTAGATCATTTAAAAGTGGACCTTTTTGTCGTACACATAATTTTTGGTTTTATAACATTCTTAAAATAATAGACTCTAAACTGTATAAGTATGAAAAAAATCAAAAGTTTTTTTGTAGGTTTTATACACAGTAACTAGACATTTATACCCAATGGCTTAAAAAAAAGTATGCTGTTCCAAAATAGTTACCTTTACCAATTTGTCACTCTTGAATCAGTACTTTTTACTATAAATCCATTTTTTATGCAGAAACCAAATTCTAAAAATGTAATTGTGGTTAAGATTTAATAAAGAAAAGCCTGAGAATATAGTTCTGTGGAGAGTTCGGTGAAGGAAAAAAAATAAAACTGACTGTAACAACACTGTTTTCTGGTTTCTTTTATCCTTGTGTTTTCACTGTAATTTTCTCAATAATTCACTGCCTAAGAAAGAAAGTTCAAAAGCAGGGAAAGTTTTATTTAAGCACTGCATGTATAACACCTCCAACTGCCTTGATATCTGAATGCAAATAATAATTACTGAACTTAGTATTTATAGAAATATTTCTAGGAGACAACACATACTACCATTTTAAGAGTGGGATACAAAGGAGTATACCAAAATATAATCCAAGAAAGAAATAATACTGCATTTACCCAAATCTAAGATGACTTCAAATGTAAGACAACCCCCCAATAAATCTGTTATAATTTGCCATGTATAGAATCTAATTAGTGGTCATGTTAAGTATGTCCCCTGCAACTGCTGTAGTGAGGAAAGCAATGGCATGGAGTGAAGGTCCAGATCCCTTCCTCATTGCTCCCCTGCCCCTTGTCCCTACCCAGGTCTGCCCCCCCGCCATGCAATGCCCCTCTGTACCTATGCCTGACGCTGTTCTTTGCCCTCCGTGTTTGTGCCT